CGTGAGAAAGCCGACGATATGATAACAATATCGACGCCAACTTTCTGTTTTGACCTTTTTGAATATTTTTTGGCCTTCGCGTCAAGTTTTTAAAAATCCAGTAAGTTTTCGAGGTTTGGGTTTGCCTGATATTGTCTAAAACTATCATTACGTTTTTTTACTGCTATATTACATTCATTGGTCCACCATGGTTTTCCTTTAACATTATTTTTGTTTTCATATTTCGGAATAGAAGCTTCAGCTGAATGGTTAACATTTTTAATGGAAGTGCAGGTTCTACATATGACCTATTTATACTCGAAAAACAGAACTGATCCCAGCAAGCTTTGTTTATGTTCCATTTTGATGTAGAGTAAAATTATAATTGATAAGTATAAGCAAATGATCTGACCCACATGGGTCTGGCAAGGTTCACCATTCTAGCTGATGGTGAATTTGAGGTGAACATAATGTAAGATCTATTGCTGATTTTGATTGATATTTTACATAAGTTGGATCTCCATTGTTGGTAAAACTTAGATTAATGTCATCTATAGCTTCAATCAGGATTTTCCCAAATATGTACGTCATCTTGAGCTCAACCGCATGAAGTGTGATGTGCATTAAAATCACCTCGTATAATACATGGACTTTGTAAGGAATTAAAAAATTGTATCCATTCCTGCTTAGTGATTTTGGTTTGTGGTTTAACACGTTGACTGCCGCAATGTTAAAAAAATTGTGTCTTCTCTGGCCGCAATACTTTTTTCAGCTTAAATGACTAATAAGCTATAGTTTAGTAGTTCTTACTTAATGATGTTGATAATTTTGACCTAGAACATGTAGATATTGATGAGGATCCACGGTTTTTTTTTTTTTTTTTAACGAGGGGGGAATGCATTTACGCACCATACCATAGCACGAGCTACGACGTGTGTGGGGCTCCAGGGTCTTGAAGAGATCACCTAATACCCACTAAACCCTAAACCTCCGCGTGGCCCGACTCATCAGCGTCTCGGTAGGCCATGTGTTGTGCGTGACCTGCGGTCTGCTACAACGTCTCCTCATGTGTTTCAGTCTCTGGGAACGCCGGGTTGGTTCCCTTTACCTCGCACATTCTATCGATGTCGTTAAGCGATCATCGATAGAGGGTCTGCTAGTTTCTCTTGAAACTCTTGTTTTCGAAAAATCAAGAGTTTCAAGTCATCTTACCAATATGTTGTTCCTGGTCCTGGTCCTGAAGGGTCCTGGTCCTGGTGGGTCCTGGTCGTGGCGGGTCCTGGTCCTGGTTGGTCCTGGTCCCGGTGGGTCCTGGTCCCGGTGGTTCCTGGTCCTCTGCATCCACGCCGTGGGGGGGGGGAGCAGCCGCAAATTCTCCTAGTCTCCTAGTCAAGGTTCCAGTTAGCGGGTGCCAACTGGGACCTTGGTCTGGGGTACCTGGTTCTGCGGTTGCGAGGCCTCTCGTCCGGATCGTAGTCCATGAGGAATCGTAGCTGCTCGTTCGGGTGGTCCTGAGCTTTCTCGAAGGTCTTCTCCGCTTTTTTCCTCATGTACTCGTGGATGGTATCCCAATGCAGGTCTCTACGCAAGGTTGAGTTCCTTACGTAGGAAGGTGCATTGGTGGCGATCCGGAGTAGCTTCATCTCTAGAGCAGCAAGTCGCTTGCGGTAGCTGGGGGCAGCGTACCCCCAGACCGCGGAGGCGTAAGCGAGCTGAGGTCTGGCGATGGCCTTGATCAGCCGTAGCTTGGTCGCTAGCGGCATCTGGCTGTGTCTACCCAGTAATGGATAGAGTTGAGCCATGGCTGCTCTGGTTTTTGCGATGACAGCTTCTATGTGCGCTTTCCAGGTGAGGGACTTGTCAAAAACGATCCCCAGATATTTGACATTGTCGCTCCACTGGATATCTTCATCGAAGATGGATGCTTCGAGAGGTCTTGCAATCCTTCTTCGTTGAATGAAGATTGCCTGCGTCTTCTGGACGTTGATGCGGATTTTCCATTTCACGCACCAGTCCTGAATTTGGTCCAGTTCACCCTGTAGTCTCCTACGGATGATCTCGGGTCGTCTATGCTTGGCGGCTATAGCAGTGTCGTCTGCATATAGGGCCAGCATTGTGTCAGCTGTCTTCGGCACATCGTAAGTATAGATGTTGTAGAGCAGGGGGGCTAAGGCTGACCCCTGGGGCACGCCTGCTTCCAGCTGACGTCTTGTTGAATGGCATGTACCAATCTTCACCGTGAACCATCTTTGTGTTAGATAGCTCTGGATCAGTTGGCACATGTTCGCATCGATTCCGGCGGCTTCCATTTTGGCGATGAGTCCATCGTGCCAAACTCGGTCGAAGGCTCGTTCCACGTCCAGCAGGACGAGACCGGTTGCCTCCTGGAGATTGAAGCCGCTGGTGATGTTTTCCGTCAGTCGTAGCGCTTGGAGTTCCGTGTTGTGGGAGGATCTGAAGCCGAATTGCTCTGGGGGGAGAAGTTGCAGTTCTTCTGCCTGCTTCTCTAGTCGAACGGCGATAGCCTTTTCGACTACTTTGCCCACCGAGGAAACCAGGCTGATGGGCCGGTAGTTCTGGGGCAACTTCCGGTCCTTGTCTGGCTTGGTGAGCATTATAACCTGGGCTTCCCGCCACCGCCGCGGGAAGTGGTTAAGTCTCAGAGTGGCATTGGCGATGTTGGTGAGCGCAGCAATGCCTTTGGTGGGAAGGTTCTTCAGCATCCTATTGTTGATGCCGTCCCTTCCCGGCGCCTTTCTGACCTTCAACCTGCGGATGATCAGACGGATTTCCTCTGGACTGGAGGGGTGATCCGTCTCCTGGCCAGGTAGTCGACTCCTCATGTTTTCGGCTGCGACTTCCACGGCCTCCTCGTGGTTGTCGTCCTCGTCTTCATGGTAATTGAGTCTGCATTCGGATTCTAGCGAATCGGCGAATGCTTCGGCTTTTTCTTCACTGGAGTAGGCCAAGCCGCGTTGGCCGTGAAGAGTGGGGATCGTGGTGCGCTGACGACGAAATTTTCGCTGCATAGACCAGGCCGTACCATCCTGGGTCTCTAGTTCTGCACAGGCTGCATTCCATCTGTTGTTTTGGAGTTCCGCGAGTGCGTTCTTCAGAGCTAACGATGCTCTGTTTCGCGCAACTCTCGACTCCTCTGTCAACAGCTGGAGATGTTCTCGCTTGAGTCTTCTGTTCTCCCTGATCAGGTGCCTAATATGGTGCGGTGCTGGACCATTTAGGTGTCTAGGAACTGCCGTAGTCTCGGAGCGGGTGCTGTCCTCGTGCGCTCGCAGGACAGCATTCTCCAGCTCCTCTACTGCGTTGTCCAGTTCCTCCGCTGATCGGATGGTTGGAATTTGAGTGATGTTCCTTTGGACGTTGGATTTGTACAGGTTCCAGTTCGTCCGTTTGGTGCTCAAGCTATCTCGAGTTCTAGACCCTGTGCCAAGTGTTAGTAGAATCGGATTGTGGTCCGACGATCCTTCCACCAGGGTCTCTATCTCGAACTCCTCTCTGATGTTGCGGAGGATGGCTATGTCCAGTACCGCAGGTCGCCCAAGGCCGAATGGAATGTAGGTTGGTTGCTCCGGACCGACGATGACCCCCGCCAGGGCATCGACGTGTTCCTGGAGCTGCCTTGCATTCCTGTCTTCGACGTTGTTGTTCCAAGCCGGAGACTTGCAGTTTAGATCTCCGATGACTATGCGTGCTCCTGGGCCTCTCAGGAGGTCAGCGATGTCATCTTCGTCTAGGGCCTCCCCTGGTGGCACATATAGGGAGGTGATTCTGTAGGGACGGTGGTTGTGATGGACCTGGACCGTGATTCCGTCCCCATTTATGTCTGCGGCATCGTCGAGGACATGACTCGTCAAGGTACGTTTGACGAGTAATGCGACTCCTCCACCTCTGCCCCTTCTGTCGTAGCGGTACGTCTCGTACCGCGGGAACGTCAGACTATGGGCAGCATCCAACTTCGTTTCTTGGATGGCCATCACCTCTGGTTGGTACTGGTCTAGTATCTCCTGGATTTCTGGTTTCCGTGCCCTGAATCCGTTGATGTTCCAAGAGATAATGCGTAGAGATTCTACGTTTTGACCTGTAGACATTTCGGGTCTAGTGCTTGTCTTGCATCTTGGCCTCGAGTGCATCCAGGCGGGTTATGATGGCTTGCATCATTGCTAGCAGTCTGTCATCGCCGTGTTGCTTCTGCGCAGTAGTTCCAGTAGCAGTGGCGGCTGCTGGGGCAGAAGTGGACATAGGCTTCTTCGCTTTTTCAGCGTAAGAAGTCCTATTTGTTGTGGGGACTGCTTTGGGGGCAGAAGCAGCTTTCTTCGGCGCCTTACTACATCCCTTGTAGTTGGCGGGGTGGCCTTCACCACAGAGGCAACACTTGGCGTTTCGTTGCCCTGTTGGCGGCGCTGGCAGACTGCAGCTGGTGCTGTTGTGGGCCTCTCCACACTTAACGCACCGTTCAGCGAGACGGCAGTTCCGCTGTGTGTGCCCGTACCGCTGGCAGCGGTAGCACTGGCTGGGCTCGGAAGACTTTTTCTTCCTCTCGAAGCTGACCGTGAGCATGGCCAGCCTCTGGATCTCTGCAAGCTTTTCCGGCATCTTCGTCTTGACGAGGAAGAGCGGAAGTGGCTTCTTTGTGGTCCTTGAGGTCAACTGCTGAACCTCGGCGTCTGCGATGCCTTGGCTCACCAGATCCTCTTTGATGTCATTGACTGACATCTCTCTGGGTAGCCCACGAATGACCCTCTGGTCCATCTTGTCCTCCTTCAGTTGATAGGTGAAGAAGGGCCGCTTGATGGACTCCAGCAGTGCGACTAGTTGACGGTAGTCTGCTGGTGTATTTGTGAATACCTTCACGCTGGTACCCGCCGTCCTCGCTTTGGAGAATTGAATCCCCTTGCTGTTCACCATCCTGCTTAAGGATGACCAATCAGCGGTGCCCTCGATGTTGATTGGCGGAACTCCTGTTCCTGCCATGGGGGCCTCGGTGGTCCTGGTTGCTTTAGGACCACTCTTCTTGGTGGCAGCTGGCATCTTTCGCTGCCTGGGTTCTTCTTCTTCTTCGGAGGAGGAAACTCGCACCCGCTTCCTCCGTCTGGTGGCGACACTGAAATCGGTGTCGTCCGTCCTCTTCTCCGCTTCTTCTACGTCGATATCTTGGGCATCCATGTCCAAGTTCTCCGTAGGCTGCTGGTCCTCCTCTCCCTGGTCCTCTCCTTCTACATCTTCCTCCGTCTTCTTAGCTTTCCTCTTTGCTTTGAGGAGCTTCCTTTTCACCTCATCGATCTCATCCCTCGCCTGCTCGAATGCTGCTTGCAGATTTTTCATCTGCTCAGCGAGCATTGCGAAGTTCTCCTCTTTCTCCTTAAGCTGGCTCGCCAGCTTTTCTATTCTCGCCATCGTGGATGGCGATCGTACCGCGATGAAAATCACAGTAGGATCGCACTGTATGTCCGGGTGGGTCGCAGTCGCACGAGTGTATGCTCGTGACGGCTGCTAGCTCGGAACTGAGGATCCACGGTGGGTGCACGCGGCCCTTAAGTATGATTTTACACCCAGGAGCCACGTGGCTCCTAAGTGGGATCTCAGCGGACCTACGTCACGGTGATAGAGCGCAAGCGCCAGCGGCTATTGCGAGATATCGTATAACCACGTGCCGCTTGTTAGTATATTGTTAGAGTCAGTAACAAGCGGAGCGTGCGAATAAAAAGTCTACGATGAGTTATGAAAAAGAACAAGAAAGGCTCATGAAGATATGGCAGGTAGGTGTCACTTGAGACTTTTGGACACGGTTATACCAAAATATCTAACTTTTTCAGGAGCTGTTGTCCGATGAGGAGGAAGATCCATTTCCTGATTTGTCGGATGAGTATGTACCAAGTCATGACGAGTCATCAAGTGAGGACTCTGATGATGACTGTAGTGATCGAAAACGCCGTCGTTTACTTTTCAATGAATCCCAAACACCAACATCTGATAGTAATGCGGAAGTCGCCAGTACTTCAGCCGTTGATCTCGAAATGGAAACAATTGAAGAAGTTATTCGTAGTTATGCTGCAGATTCCAGTGAAGTTGGTCCATCAAATAACAGTACCACAGATCTTGCTTGGTACCAGGTATCTGGCTCACATTTGAAAGATTTTCATTTTACAATATCTGATCCGGGAATCATACCACAAATATACGAATCATATTCCAATAAAAATCCAATAAACTTCTACAAGTTATTTCTGAACGATGACATTTTGGATATGATGGTCATAGAAACCAATAGGTATGCTGCTCAATGCAAGGCACGAGAATCAGCTCCTAAGGCTAGGATCCATCAGTGGCGCGATGTAGAAAAAGCAGAAATGAAAAGATTTATTGGTATAATATTTTGGATGGGATTGTGCCAATTTCCATCCATTGAGTCATATTGGTCGAAAGAGGTGATGTTTGATAATAAAATAAAAAATGTAATGTCAAGAAACCGGTTCCAGTTGTTGCTAAGAGTCTGGCATTTCCACGATAATGAGGTAATTTCAGAAAACAGGCTTCAAAAGATAGTTCCCCTGATAGAAAAGCTACTTGAAAGTTTCCAAGCCCCGATCGTTCCAAAAGAATCGCTTTGTATTGATGAAACACTGGTACCATTTAGAGGTCGTCTACGATTTAGGCAGTACATAAAAAACAAGCGTCATAAGTTTGGTATAAAACTGTACAAGCTTTGCTTGGAAAAAGGATACACATACAATATCCAAGTATATGTCGGCCAAGATAAAACCGAAGGGCAAGCATCGTCACAGAATGTTGTACTTACACTCGCTAAGAATCTCTTGTACGAAGGTCGTACGATTTATACCGATAACTACTACACAAGTGTATCGTTGGCTCATGAACTGCTTGAGAAGAAAACACATTTAGTTGGCACTTTGAGGGCAAATCGAAAACTTAATCCTAAAGAAGTTACAGAAAAAAAACTGAAAAAAGGAGAGACTATTGCTGCCGAATCCACTTCAGGCGTAGTTGTTCAAAAGTGGATGGATAAGAGAGATGTCCTCACTCTCAGTACTAAACATACCTCTGAAATGATAAAAGTCAAAAGTGGTGACAAGGAAATGGAAAAGCCTGCATCAGTGATCGATTATAACAAGCATAAAGCATTTATTGATTTATCAGACCAAATGAAAGCTTATAATACATGTCTGAGGAGAGGCATAAAATGGTACAGGAAGCTGGCCATTGAACTGTTGACGGGTACTGCCTTGGTAAATGCATACATTTTACACCAACAAGTAACAAATCAAAAAATGAGCGTTACAAAATTCAAAGAGGTTGTAACAACAGAATTTCTGAATGTGGGAAGCCTGTCAAGACCAAACGAAAATATCGAAAACATGCCATATATTCAACATATTCTTGAGGATGTTGGAAGGGCAGGCCGAGGAAGGTGCAGTTTATGCTATGAAACACTAGCACGCCAACTTGGGCGCATTCATGCACAAGCTAAGACGCAAAAAACCAAATTGAAATGTTCACAATGTATGAAACACTACTGTTTGTCATGTTTTTTTGAGGTGCATCGCTGTACAAAATAAATAATGTTTATTAATGTTTTTATAAAGTTTGAATATTACTTTTTTGTATTTATATTTTTTACAGTTTTTTTTGGACTACAATAATTATAAATATAATAATTAGCTAATAAATATTGTTTAATTTCAATGACATAGGTAACAGCCACGTGTACCCATACAGCACACTAAGTTCACAGGCCAAATGCAAATTCTACATATAACAGCCACATATTCGCGTCCCCATATGAAACTAACGCGGTTGAAGTCCAGCTGTGGGTACACGCGGCTGTTAAATATTTTTCTGCTTGAGTCCCCACAGTGTAGTCTCGCGGCCAGATCTGTCGATTTCCTGAGATCCCACTTTGGATACTCACGGCAGTCAACGTGTTAATATATACTCATACGAATGTAATATCTGAGATCCCTTGAAACTTTACAGTAGAACATACTTTCATTATTTTATTACAAGGGACTAATGTTATTTGAGAATAATTTATGCTATTTCTCAACAGTAAAGCCACTCCTCCTTTGCCATCTAACATCTAACCGGTCTTGACGGATAACGTTATAACCTTTAAATTTTACATATGTAAGTATTCATTTTAAACCACGTTTCAGACAAAAGTGCGATGTCCACATTTTGTTCTAAAATGTGTTCCAAATTACCTTTGTTTGCTATAGTCGATCTACAATTCCATTGACATATCCTCAAAAAAATCATTGTGGATTCTAAATACATCGTATAGATTGTATTTTATGTTTTTCATAACTTACGAACACCTTGGTAAAAGTGAAAAATGATTAAAAATATACTGTTATTTTTTTAATAAACTTATTTTTCTATATTTATATATTTATCTTTCTCTTATGAGATTAGTTATAGTTGACTTATCTAAGCTCTTGATGTTTGTTTCTCTAAAATTTGTAAGAACAAATATAACCAATTCTGAAACATTTTAGATGAACGTCTCATCTCTGCTATTAAATTCATCTAAACAGTAACTGGGGCTATTAGTAATACCCCGGATACCTGTGGAGTATTTATTTGACTCACAATTTATCTCCTAGCTTCTTCTCTCAAATCTGGCGAGGAAGGCGAGTTTCGTTTCAAAGGTTTAGACAACCTTTGTGTAAAGTGCGACTTCGCATTTGGACTATTTAGTGATGTTTGAGTCTTTGATGATTGAGATGAAAGATTAGAGCTACTGATTTCTTGAGACATTATAGAATTATTTTTTGTAACTGAAGCATGTGGCTTTTGGCACCGCATTGTTTGAGTCTCTAATGGCCGATTGCACCAACGACTTTACGGATAAATTATTCGTTTCTTAACTTTAAGCAATCCTTAAAGGTACATTTTCAGTTGCACCAACGGAAAGTGACGATTATTCTCCGATTAAACTGTCCTTAGGCCGATATTGTCAGTCCTTCCTACAATTGTAGGACGCCTTTAAGGCCTCCTTCATCCTCATACTCCTTTCTCTCCTTCAAAAATTTCTAGATTGGACCTGTTCTGTGTCAGCGTCAGCGCTCTCCTATTGTGAAGATATGTTTTCTTTTTAAATTGTAGGAAATTTCAGGCTGATAGAGCATGATATATACGTAAATCAAAAGCATGGACAATTTGATGCAAATAGATATTTGTGACATAACCTCAAAATAGACCGCTGACACGGAAAAGTAGAAAACTTCGACAATCAAGGAGGCCATAAAGGCGTCCTACAATAATTGTAGGAACGACTGACGATACGGGCCTTAGTTAAGTGGCAGCTAACGATCACTTGAACGGTACTTAGCGCACAGTGTGGTACATGGTTTCCAGCCTGTAGATTTGTCGCCATATTTGTGATTTTCGATACACTTAGCGACTGTTTTGTGACTGTACAACTAGTTATTTTTCTGGCAACTAAACCGAACGAGGTCTATTTTTGACTACACTGGTGACAAGTACTGCGATAGAAGAGAAATACAATTCTGTTGTATATTTTCATCTGTGTGGTGTCTGAGGAAGGCCTTTTTGGTGTTATTGACTTGTTTTTTTGTTTCATTTTGATCAACTCCATTTTATAGTTAATGTGATACCTCAAACAAGACCTCGAGCTGTAAAGTGAAGACATCACCCTATTGAGGTCGTATTGTGTTCGTGTGAGTTACAATGGAGTACTCATATTTGGATTATTTGGGCGACCCACCAGTAACATGTTCTTCGTGGCTTCTACATTGCTTACCCAAATGACCATAACGCATACAGTTATGACACAAAATTACCTTCTGTATATAATGATTTACTTCAAAAAGAACGTGATTTATAGCTACACGCTTAGACAATTCTTGCGCTTGAAAAGTAACTACAACCTTATTTATAGGTAGATAATTAATCTCACCATTTTGATCTCATTTCCGGTGGATGCGTTTAACCGAAAATGCAGCAAGAGTCGAAAGATTTGATCGTTTCCAACAAATATTTGTCTGATA